TGCATGCGGGTTTGCAGTTGCATTCATGTACGGGTATGTTTTTTATTCTCGCGATGCCAATCGAAAGCTGATGGGAAAAAAAGATTGGGTAAGATTTTCGCCATGGCTACACTTACAGCGCACTCGGCAGAGCTCACTGCTCTTTTGAAGAGCGATCCAAAACCACACTCTATAGGTGCAGAAACGGCCATAAACATTGCTTTCATTGCGTTGACAACTTTCTCCCATTGCCTTGGCGTCAAGGTTAGTTGAGATTTGTAAATGATAAGTTGAACTCGAGCTTACATTCCATCAGCTTTACGGCAAAATTGAACGAGTATGCTATACTCAACCCTATCTCTTGGAGCTGTGTCTAACATGATGTTTTCAGGTAGTCATGTGGTTCAAGATAAGCTTGCTTGTGCTTGTGTGCGTGATGATGGTGGTGATCAACCTTGGAGGTATGCTATCAAGATTCATAATATTGCAGATGCTTTTCTGATATAATCTAGGTGGCGGTCCAAGGGAAGGAAAGTACTACGGAAGTGAGTGTCTGCTTTAATTAGTCATGTTATATACACTAACCAGCACTACAGACTATACAACCCATGCGTTTACTCCCGATTGGAAACCGATTGGACACAATAGTACGACTGCCGATCCTCTAGCACTAAGAGGCGTCTCAGATTATGCTTATGGAATTCCTGGGACTGGAGGTGTCCTATTTTCATTTATGTAAGTGTTGTGTCTTCGTGTTGCGCGGATTGAGTTAATGATTGGTAAAGCACTTCAATCACACTTGCCATGTTCTCTTGCTTCGGAACAGATCTCGTCGCAATGACTGCAGGAGAGGCGAAGAACCCCTGGAAGGATGTGCCAATCACGATGTCCTTTGTATACCTTGTTCCCCTCAGCATATATCCTTTTGCCATCTTCGCTGCTGGATCGAACGTCAACTACGCGAATCCGGATCTACCCAAGATATGGGCGAGAGGTGGAGGCGCTACGAAATCAGCCTTTGTCATTGCGGCCCAGGAATCCTCACTCCATGGACTGCCAAGGGCACTGAACGCGCTCTTCATAGTATCGGCATATACGACTGCAAATACCGACCTGTATGCAGCTTCGAGAAGCGTCTTCATGCTGTCACAACAATATCTGCCGCACAAAATCGCCAACATATTTGGTCGGACGAACAATGGCCATACTCCACTGGCGGCCATTCTGCTATGCTCAGCCCTGGGATTCATATCACTCATTGGCTTGGCCGACAAATCGGGCTCACAACCACGTATTACGCTGTCTGAGCTCTACACAGGGACAGCAACATGCATCAACCTCTGCCTCTGTATAACCTTTTTGCGCTTCAAAGCCGGCCTTGACCGTCTAGCCAAGCGAAAGATTTTCGGCAGAAACCACCCACTGTACAAATCCCGACTCTTCAAGTCGCGCTGGCAGCCTCTGCCAGCCTACATTGGCATCGTCGGCAGCGCATGCGTAATCCTCTGGTCCGGCATCCCCCCCTTCGTCATCCTCGTCACAAAAAGCAACCTCAGATCGACCGAAAGCCTCAAATCAACAATCAGCCTCGCCTTCGACGTGCTAGGCGCCTACATTGGCCCCGTCCTCTTCGCCTCGCTCTACCTCTCCTACAAATACATCTACCCACGCACCTCGGCCGTTGACATGCGCAATCTCACCGTCGAAGACTACGTCCTCCAAGACCTCTCGTACATTGAGCTCGAAGGGCCCGAATCCGTCCCGCATATCCCGCGGCCCCGCTTCGACTCGTACGAGATGGACGGGCAGAACGATGGCGTTGCGAGTCCCGTAAATGCAATGTTCCAGGATCCGTTCAAGGAAGAGGGCACGTGGAATGTTAATGTTAGTCCGAATCCCGATTCGGATATGCAGGAGGAGATGGAGGCCGAGGCGGCGCGCAGGAATGAGAGAGCGAGGATTAGACAGATTTTAGAGCGCAGGCCAATGAGGATGGGGCGTGGGTTTTGGAGGGAGGTGTGGAGTTTTGTCAAGACGGATAAGGAGGAGTGAATGTTTTTTTTTCTCCTTCATCTACTAGCGAATGAAAGTCACGACATATTTCAATCTTCACAATCTTTCTCTTTTCTTCTTCTTCTTCTTCTTCTTCTTCTCAGATTGTTCATATTTTGCTTTATCAAGTTTAGTTTCTCCTGAGAACGAAGGGGAGAGGGAAAAACTTTCTTCCAGGGAAACTGTCTTATTTTAATTTGTTGATACGGGGTAGACGAGATGAGCAGCGGCTTTGCATCGGAATGTGGAGTGGGTGCATGTATTGCAAGTAGCTGTGAGCGCGGCCGGTCGGGAAAAGTCGGGGATGGGGGTAACTTGCGGGACCATGTCCCATAATGGATTGCACCGACGAACAAAACTTTTGACATGTAGTACTTGAATGTATTTGAAAGAAAAAAAAAGAGAGAAAATGAGCAAGAAAGAGGGTCGATGTAGAGGATATACAGAGTTTGAATGTTTGTTGATGTTTGATATTTTATTCTGAAATATGGTACATAATTCGTAGCCTCCCCTATTTCTTCCAAGGAGTTTCTCTTTGACGCCAAATGCTATGACAAAAAAACGCTAGATGCTATGCTGAGTGACGAAAATGACGTCTGTCTCCTCCAATTCCACAGAGCACACGAGCCGGGGACAGCTTGAATGCTGTAAGGGCCGTTGCTCGTGGCCTGGTATGCAGTGTGGGGTCCATGGCGCGCAGCGCATGGATTTCCTTGTTCTCCCTCGTTCCCCTTCTTCGGATCCTGCCTGTGGCGTGCGTGTCCGTTGTTGCACGCGACACTGGTCGTTTCTGCTCGGCTAGTTTCTTACAACCTTCCCCCCCCTTCAACGCCTCGCCTTCACTCATTGAACCTCGTAAATCTCCATGGCACGCTGGAGATCCTCGATGCTGGTCTTATCGCCATAGGCCTCCTCGAGGATCTTGTTCCTGTCCTTGCGCGTAGTGAGCCTGGCTTCCAGACCGGCAATGGCGCGCTCCATGTCCTGCAGACTAGAGCGCTCGCCATAGGCATCCATGAGCATCTGGTTCTTTTGCTCCTGGGTCAGCTCTAGTGCAGAGTGGACCTTGCGGTTGGCATCATTGAGGGCGTTTGTAACACCAAAACCTATGTTAGCATTAGCATCACCAAGCGAAAGTGGCCGGCGAGGCTGCGACGATGATGCATCTCTGGGGAGATAGATCATACCGATGGCTACCATGGCCATGGTAGGGAGGTACCTGGGATTTTGTTAGTCTTTGCTGTATATAGGTGGTGGTGAACTGTGTAGTAGACGCACCATCTGGCGACCCTTCCGAGCTTGGGGACAACACTGGCGCCTGGGGCGGCTGCCATGTGTGCTGCTGTGGCATCTTGGAGGGAAATGGCAGTGCGAGCACGTGCCGAGGTGGTGAAGAGCCTCTGGCGGACGAGGGTCGAAGTGCGGAGGAGAAAAGACATGTTGTTGGCGGTTGTGTAGTAGTAGGAGTGGCGGAAAGTGAAATGGCCAGTGGGTTGTGCTCGAATGGGGTCGATGTGGGTTGACTTATATCCCGTTGGTGGTGGTGGTGATGATGATGGCTATGGGCTTGGAATGTGGATGTGGATGTGATGGCCAAGAGATGAGTGTATCGGCCGCGGTTTGGTTTCTGGTAGGGAGATGTTTGATTGATGCGTGGAAAGGTGTGTTCATGCGTGGTGATGCGTGATGTGTTCCGGTCAAGGGATTCCAAGGCGCGGACTATGCAGCCTGTATATACGGCGGCGCTGTGCGGGGAAATGCAGGTCGCAGGCGGGCTGTGCAGAAGTGTCTCTCCACGACCACCCTCGTGTCATGCCACGAATCACAACACTTGACATCACCGGGCTCTCTGACCCTGAGAGTAGCAGACGGCCAATCCGGGCCATTGTCGTCCCGTGTCTTCAAATCCGGGGACGGCTGACGTACCGTGTGCTGCTGGCCGGCGTGAACCCCTTCTCTCCCGGCCGCGCATCGAAGTCGACCCTCACTTGTCTCTTGCTACTACTTTCCGCTTGGCGCCCGTGACCCGTCTGGGATACGTTTCGGCTGTGAGGACGGCAGCGGCCGACGCCCAATTGCACGTCAGCGGGGCGGGGGGTTACGTCCAGGTGGAGTTAGCCGTGTGCTGATGCTGGTTAGACGACCGTCTTTCGATTGTGGGGTGAGGCTGCCGGTCACGAGACTCGCCGATATCCCGCCATGCTGATGTCAGCCTGCATATCCACCACAACCGGTTCCTCGTCCGGCCAGACACCTCAGCGTCAACACCATGGTTTTGCTTCATGTCGCCCATCGTCATTGTCACCCGATGCAAATTTCTCCTGCAGGATATCTGACAGGTCCTCGACGATGACCGCATCAGCAGCACTCGTTTCTTCCATTGTACTACTCATACCCATTTACTTGAACCTCGGCACCCGCACACTGATCAAAACGAAACTCAGAATGCTTGCGTGGCCAGTAGTCTCCGCATAACACACATCTAGGTTCTTGTCAGTACCAATATCAAAAAGATGTTGTATTCGAGGCCCCGGACTCTTCGCACGCACACGGACCAGACGAGGCGAATCTCTAGTACCCCAGACCACGGTAGCTTCAGTTAGCGGTTATCAAGATGCGCGGCTGTATATCATTGCATCCTGAAATTGAAATTACCAGGGATAATGAGACTACTGATAATCGATTGTGGATATTGTTCCTGGAGTAGCGAATGAGCCTCAAGCACCACAACAGCCGCCCCGGACTTTTGTGTCAAATAAATACCACAGTCGGCCCAGATGCCTTACGCCATGGAAGCAGTGACAAATGTTTCGTCAAACACGAAACATGCGCCTCGAAAATTCCAGACGACTAGGCAATACGCCGTAGCTGGTCGACAACAAAAGTATACCTTTGAAACGCTCCCCGAAGCCATGAGTTCCGCACATACTTCGAGTTAAAGCTCAGCCCAGTAAAGACATGGTGGGATAATGCACATGCCGGTACATACCAACAACTCTAGGGTTGGCTTGGAAGAGATCCATCGGCTGTTGCTTGATATAATGGCCGCTCACCCACCATTAGATCTGCTCACCTCTCTACACACAGTATGTTGTGGTCCAAAATTTTCTAACATATGCCAGTTTGCTTGGCTGCTACATCCAGGCACCCAAGATTTTCTCTTAATACTGTATATCAAGCATACAGCCTAACAAAGACCTCAATCTGAGCGCTCAACTCTACCCGTCCGCCATACGACTCTCCTATCAAGAAATGATGCATATGGCACACATCCTTCTTCGTACTCGAAACACCCCAGACTACACAAGAGCCGCCGCCAAAGTAATTTATAACCCGCAAAATCAGCCCAAGCCCTCTTTCTACTGGATGCATCCTCGCAGTCGTCTTATCTGCTCTTATGGGTGATCAGTACCGCATAGATAGAGACACGCTACTTTCATGTCCGAGACTGCAAAAGTGCATCCTATTGATATCAAGATGTTGAGGGCAGGCTACGGACGTAGTGGCCTTTACAGAGAACTACTAGGCTGATTTTGTGTCGAGATACGAGACGCCGTGTCGAGATACGAGACGCCATGTCGCAGGGTACTTGGGACTGCAGTGCTATGGAGACATTGTGGGGGTTCATCCTGGAGAACATAAGAGATGTGCCGTGAACTCTTCCCAAAACAAAGAGTGGCATGTTTGTTGCGACATTGTTGAGACAGCAGTGGATCTAAGGTAGCATTAGATTAAAAAAAATTGACTAGGCTCACAGTCGCCCTTTGCATATTGGTCTTGGCTGTGTAAGTAGCACGATGCTGAGAGGTGTAGATGGATAAATCGATGACATCATGTAACGTTTCATGCACCTCTTAGGCAACATAAAGACATACAAATGCTCTGGTGTTCTGATAGTCCTCTTCCTCTATCATGAGCGGAATGGTTTTGAGAAAAAAGGCAATTTGCTAATAACTTGTCGATCGAGAAAAAGAAAGTATAGGGAGACGCATCGGCAGTCGCAGACTTGCCTCAACCAGACCCACTGTATCCACCGAAAGCAACTGCCGTCTCTTTTGCATCCCAACCACAAAGTAGTCGGACGAATCAAATCCCATCTCACCCAACCAACAGAACAAACCAAGTCCTTTAGGCAGAAGAGCCGCAGGTGTTTGCCCGGCATTCAGCCTCCATTTCGGCCAAGCTTTGCCGTAAAGCTTGAGCGCGGATGGCGTTGCTTGGAGCGTCGTCTACAATAAGTCAAGTATCCGATGTGCGGCTGCCGACTTGAGAAGCTATGTGGTAGTTAACGACGCAGCCGTGGCGACAATAGCGCAGAATCTTTGTTTGGGGACCCCATGGGCCTGCATTTGACAAATGGGTCCTACCTCTGGGGTCTCCACTGAGGGGGTCTCCGCGAGAGTCTGCTTCCGAGGAAAATAACATGGGGAACGGAGAGTACATAGCCTGGAGACGCCACTGACGGATGCCAGCCGAAAGATTGCTTGCCAGTCTCTTGCTTTCTTCACTTCTACCGTGTTTCCTGTGCGTGTACGTTACTGATCGTTAGGATGGAAAGCCAGCCAGTTGCGACGAATAAGGGCCTTGCTGCCGATAGCCCCAAGTACAGCGAAGACCTCGAGCATGCTGCTACTCATGGCACATATCTCGACAAGGAGGAAGCATCTCACCTCTCTGAAGAGCATCGCCAATACCTACTCCAGCGTCATGGCACACTTGATCTCGACCCTCTGCCTACCATGGGGACTGCTGACCCGTACAATTGGCCTCAGTGGAAGGCAAGTGATCCTCAGCTTTTCTTCACTAGCATTCCTTTTCTAACCAACAACCAGAAAATTATGAATGTCCTTTTCGTAGCTTTCCACGCCATGATGTGTGCATTCCCCGCATCTGCCATTATCCCAGCCTACGAGGAAATATCCCAGGACCTGGGTGTCAGTATCCAAAAAGCATCGTACCTTACTTCCTTACAAATTGCCATCTTAGGCGGTGGACCGTTATTCTGGCGACCTCTCTCAACACGATATGGTCGGCGACCCATCTTCATCATCTCACTGGTTGGAAGTCTAGTCTTCAACATTGGCTGTGCCAAAAGCCGAACCTACGCTGCAATGGCAACGTGCCGCGCGCTCCAGTCTTTCTTCATTTGTCCACCCAACGCCATCGGCAGCGCCGTCGTAGTCGAAACTTTCTTCCGTAAAGAGCGAGCAAAATTCATGGGCATGTGGACCGTCATGATCACTCTGGGCATACCACTTGCACCCCTCATCTTCGGCTTCGTAACATACAACGCGGGCTACCGGTGGATCTACTGGATCCTCGCCATCATCAACGGCGTCCAACTCATCCTCTACTCCCTCTTTGGCCCCGAAACACGCTTCATGCGGCACGACAAGGCGCAGCACGCGCAATCCGGCCTCGCCGCCTACAAAGAAGTGTACCTAAAATTCCGCCGCATCGATCCCACGCCCATGAGCCTATACGAATTCATATCTCCCCTCCGCCTTTTTGCCTACCCCTGCATCGTCATCCCCGCCTGCGCATACGCCATGGTCTTCCTCTTCGCCTCCGTCCTCACCACCGTCGAAATCCCCCAACTCTTCATGGAAAAATTCCACCTAAATGCCCAGCAGCTCGGCCTCCAGTTCCTCGGCACCATAGTCGGGACCGCGCTCGGCGAGCAAATAGGAGGCCACTCCAGCGACCGCTGGATGCGCTGGCGAGCAAGCAAAACCGCGCCTTTACGACCTGCCCCCGAGTTCCGGCTCTGGCTCTCGTACATTGGGATTCTGTTGACTATCTGCGGCATCACTGTTTTCCTGGTGCGCATCGAGCAGGCGGCCCCACTGCAGTGGAACGTCACGCCCATTGTCGGTGCGGGTATAGCCGCTGCTGGGAACCAGATTGTGACCACGGTGCTGATGACGTATGCGGTCGATTGCTATCCCGAAGAGGCTGGTAGTATTGGCGTCTTCATCACCTTCGTGCGGCAGATGTGGGGCTTTTTGGGCCCGTTTTGGTTCCCGGATATGTTTGACAAGGTTGGTGTTGCGCAGAGTGCGGGTGTGGCGGCGGCGCTGTTGGTTGGGGCGAGTTTGGTGCCTGTTGTGGTTACGCATTGGAAGGGGTTTAGTAGCAGGGGAAGTATGGTGGAGAGAGGTTGAGATGGTAGACAGTAAAGGAAGATATAGTACTTGTTGTATTTACAATCTTTGCATACTGGCGTCGGCATACTTTGTCGACTTACCAGCACGAATTTACTCCTTACAATCCAAAGAACGAAACCCTCAAGATATCCTAATGGATTTAGAAACAAGACAAAAAAAAGTTTAACATTATATTGTTCTTTGAAATTTACAGGAATGCTCACAGTTTTGGTCCGAATCCTTCCTTGTCACACAGCTCCTCCGCCTGCGCCACAACATCGACTCCATACACATTCGCCTGCACATCAGCGTCGGCCCAGCGATCCGGGACCTTGCCCTTGCCCTCCTTGAGAGCCGCAAACGCCTTGTCGCGCTCCTCCTTGGCCTTGCCCGCACCCAGATGCATCTGGCGCCCGCTCTCGGCCGCGAGTTCCACCAGCGCCTCAGCCCTCGGCTTCCGCAGCTTCTCGTACAAGCGCAGTGCGCGCTCAATGGTTTCGGGCTTGCCGTCTGCGATGCGCTTGGGCGATAGGACGACACCGAGGACGGCACCGTCTTCAATGGCTTGCGCGGCACCCTGGGCCATGTGCGGGAGCGTCGGGTGGCATGCATCGCCTACCAGGGCAGTTGGGCCGTGGACCCACGTTGTCAACGGGTCGTGGACTCTGAGCTTCCACTCGACGACCTCGCCTTCGGGCACCAAGTTCAGCATGCGGTGGATCATGGGGCAAAAGTCGCCGTAGACGCCCAGCATGGCTTTCTTGCTGCCCCTTGTCGTGTACTGTGCGTCTGGGGCGCCGGCAAAGTTTGTGTCTGGCTGCGCGGTCGAGATGTTGTAGATTTGCTTGTTGTGGATCGGGTATGCGATGATGTGTTTCTTCTCGCCAATCCAGCGTGTCACTGTGTCTGAATCGATGAGCTTGAGTAGCTCCGGGTCGTGCTCCATTTGCGAGCGGTTCAGCATGATGCGGTAGGCGGCTTGGCCAGAGTCGCGGGCAGAGCCTGTGTGTCCGAGTTCCTTGAGCATGGCGACTCGAGTGTTGCTCTTGACTCCGTCGGCGCCGAGGAGAATGTCGCATTCGACCTGGTAGGGCTCGAGATTGCCTTGAGATGGAGTAACTGTGAATTTGGGCTTGGGGCCGAAGCGAAAATCGGACAATGTGCAGCCCAGCTTGAATGTGATGCCACTCTCCTTCTTGCAACCTTCGAATAGACCGTTTGCAAGACTGGCTCGGTGGCCAACCATGTGTGGGTATCCGTACTTTTCCTTGACGTATCCTAGATCTACAAATCCCAGCTCCTTGTCTGTTGAACCTTCCCTAATGGATGTGTTTGCGCATACGACGGCTTCGTCGCGGATTGGGCCCCAGCAGCCTAACCGGTCAAGGATGCGGGCCATGTTGGGTGCTAGTTGAATTCCTGCGCCTACGAAGCCCATGACTGGGGCATTTTCATATATCGTGATGTTCTTATGGCCGGCTTTTGCAAGGGCGAGAGCCGCGGCAAGGCCGCCCATACCTGAGATACTATTAGTGGATGCACTCGGAAGGTGGGAATATGGATTGAAGGAGCATACCCGCGCCAACAATGGCTATCCTCGTTTGCTCCGCCATATCTTTTGCTTTGGATAAGTTCAGCTTGGACGCTGCGTACTTGGTTTTATAGTAACGGTCCACTCGGGGAAAATGGTTGATGCGGCGGCAAAGTTTTGTGTTGTTGACGATATTATGGCTGACTTGTTGAACTCCAACTTTACCAATATATCATACGAGGTATCTCTAAGTCTGTATGTACTGCACAATTCGAGTTATACCCCAAAAAACCCCACAGCTTGTAAGGTATGGCCAGCAAGTAATATGTAAAGAAATGCCGGATGATGTCTTAGCCGGAGCTGTTGCTTCTTTTTGAGTTTATTGGACCCAGTGCGAAATGTCACACAAGATTGGTCTATGATTGGGCGGAGTCGGTCGGTAATTATATAAGTTCCTACGCAACAGATATCCGCCTGGCTCGAGTCCATCCGAGTATGTGTATTGCGGGTTGTTGTGGAAGCCAGCCAACAGTCCATCCGCCCCCCACTGTAGGCGGGGCTACGCTTAGGCTACTATCTCTTATGCCTTGCCCCACCGCCGACGCCGGGAATGCCGTCCCCACGGAGAGACGGAACTGGGAACCACATATCACACAATCGGCCCGACACGACTGTGTGTCTACGACCACATAGTAGCATCCTGCTCTACAGGGTGTAGCATACCTGTGTAGACACTAGTCAATGGCCAGACTCCTAGGATCACAGCATGTGTTTATGGAACAATTCGGATTGAGCTGTTGCATTATAAGATCGGAGAATAGACGTCCGTAGTTCACATCGCCTAACAGTCCAATCTACCATTCAAGACGGCTGACGTCCGCGACATGAACGTACCAGTTAGATGCCAGCTAGCTGAATTCAAGCTCATCAGCCCGTGTGGCTGTCTCGTTAAGAGCACACCGACATCAGTTGTACGGGTATGCAATGAGGGGCCGGATGCCCCGCGCTAATGTTTGATGCGGAATGTGGGGACATTTCTCCTGTCAATCCAGACAACACCATCACTCCAACCATTGCATGACGAGCCAGTACCAAGCCAGTCAGCCGTCGTCTTTATTCTAGTCGTCATTGACTGGTGTCTTGTGGAACACGCTCTCGAGAAGCCCCAACCTCAGACGACTGGGAAGAGCGTTCATCCGGCAGTTGCGTCGAGGCTAGCTGGAACTCCTGCTGACAGTTGAGACGTCGATTGCGTGGATTTCGGAGCCAGATTTAACACCTTGAACCATTTTCCACATCGTGTGCCGCGGACTGCATAGCCGTGCTGACCGCTGTACCCAATACGCAATAAGAAAGCACTTTGCCTGTGCTCTGCAAAACCAATACCGCACAGACATGGCCGAGCGACGAAGCTCTTTTGATCAAGCCTCGGCTGGCTTTCGGGCCCATTTGCCAGATCTATCCAGTCCGCGCTTCATCACAGCTGCCAAACAAGACATATACCAATATGTCCAGTCAATGCAAGACAACCGTGCTCCGCCGTGGTTGTACGACTTGACAAAGGTATGGGAAAAGCTGTTGGAAGAGCCCTACACAGGTGTTACCAACGATGGCAAAGTACGACCGGGTCTTTTCAAGGCCCAAGATGAAGGTGCCAATGTTCAGGCTGCGTTCGAAAAAGTAGGAGAACTTTTAGAAGGCTTGGATGATGAGAAGAGAAACAAATTAGTGTATCCGATCAACGCGAGAGAATGGCGGGCATGGAGCAACCCAGAGTTTCTACTGAGGCCATTTGGACTAAGGCTCGAGGAAGGTAAGAAGGCCTTTAGGTCAAAGTTCCGATACCGTACTAATATTAGCAGTGCCGGAAAGTACTGCACAGTCAATCCTCGCCGTAGTCGAGGCGTCCTTGTCGCCAGAAGGCTACCAAAAGGCATTATCTGCTATGCGCATCAATCATTTCCTAGGAGAAGTCGTCAAGCTCCCCAACATCCTGAATAAGTACTCGTACAACTTCCTCTTGTTTGGGATGCCCTCTGCATCCGCATCTTCACCATGGGGCTGGCTCCTTTACGGCCACCACCTCGATATCGCATGCTTCTTCAAGGGGCCTCAGGTCGTCATTACTCCCTCTTTTACCGGCGCAGAACCAAACATCATCGATCAAGGCGAATGGAAAGGAACCCAGATCCTTCATAAGGAAGGCAATCTCGGTTTGAAGCTGATGCAGAGCTTGAGTGCAGAGGAGCGGCAAATAGCTCAGGTCTTCAAGAAGATGAGGGATGAGGGCATGAAGCAAGTTTACGGCAACTCCAACAACGATGAGAGCAAGCGTGACGAACTCATCACTGACACGTGGGGCCCAGATGACCAGCGTCATCGCTGTGGCGCCTTTCGAGACAACCGGGTTGTTCCTTACGAGGGTATCTTAGTCTCTTCGCTCAACCCCACTCAACAGGACATCATCTTGGCCATTTGTCACGAGTTCTTGCTTTACCATCCATCCAACGCCCGTGAGCTCAAGCTCAAGCAGATCAAGCAGCATCTTGACGAAACGTACTTTTGCTGGATCGGTGGCTTCAGTGATGATGACGCGTTTTACTTCCGGATCCAAAGCCCGGTTATCCTCGTGGAATTCGATCATCATTCCGGAGTCTTCTTAACAAACAAGGAGCCGGCCAAGTACCATACGCATACTATTGTGCGGACACCTAATGCGGGAGATTACGGTCAGGCCATTAGGGATAACCATGAAAAATTAGAGTAGCTTGTTTGTGCTGATACCGGGACCCGAGTCAATCAGAGACAGCGGTCAAAAAGGACAAAATAGTGTTGTATGCCGTGTCAGAGTTCGTCAGCTGCCATTCTCCGAATTCGTCCGAACGTGATATCTGCATCTTCTACTCAATTCCTCCGCTGGAATTTTTACATTCTACGAGAACAAATAGCATGTGCAAAGGAATACGGAAAACAGGACAGTTCAGTTCACAGGAATCGTCTGCCACAAGTCATGCACTAGAATATACTGGAGTCTCCGCGGGAGAGGAACAGGCAGGCGAATCCTTCGTTCCTGACATGATGTGGGTCCAACTACAACACCATAACCAATGGTTGGCCTACCTGTGCCGGGATATCCCCAAGCGGCTTGACTGCTGGGCGCAGCTAGCCTCGAAAGAAAACACCTCTTATCGACTTCTACTTGTGGTAACCCCCCGGGAGGGGATCATAACGCGGCTGTTTGCACCCGCAGCAAGATTGACAGAAACTCATGCAGGGCAGAGGGGATAGAACCATGCCATGGCTCGTATACGATATTTACGAAACATGCGGGATTCGACATTGGATGCCTTGGTGGCAGTCCAATCTCTCTTCTCACTCAGTGGAGATTGAGAGATAGATGATCCTTTTAAGCCCACTTGGCTCCCCGCCCTTGCCACGCTGATACCCCAGGTACACCTTTTCAAAGGACATTTTCGTTCCTTCGATTTGATATTCACGGTCGTTTCCTCCACCACATTCGTTCATCCATTATAATATACTTAGCGTACTTAATTCGTAATCATGTCTTTCAGCATCCGCAACACCATTGCGTTGGGCGCCTTATCCGCTCTCGCCGCAGCACAAACCACGCCACCTAAGCTGGACGCAGCCTGCGCCGATGTAGTCATCTTCATGGCTCGCGGTAACGACGCTCCTTATCGTGATGGACGCACCTTTCCGTTTGTCGAGGCAACCTGTGGCAAGTTGATTGCTGAGGGCAAAACGTGCGATCACATTGATATCCAGTTCGACGTTACCCTCGGTGGAGACTACTGCGCTCAGGTGGCAGAGGGAGCCCGCAATGGTATCTCTCAGATTACCGCCTTCAACCAAAAGTGTCCTTGCACACACATAGTGGTTAATGGCTACTCTCAGGGAGCCCATGTTGCTGGCGATGTCTTGGGTGGACCAGGTGGATGCTCCTTTGTGAGTAACGGTCTTGACAGCACTTCTCCTGCTGGCCAAGCCAGTAAGTATACACAGATTCGACTTTATTTTGGTTCAGTGCTGACTTGGAAAAGTTGCTGCGGCTCTGTTGTGGGGAGACGTCATGCACACCGCGAACCAACCTTACAATGTCCTCGACGGTGCCAGCAAGCAAAAGAACCCACGCGCTTCTGGAGACCTCGCCCGTTTGAACCGTTATGCTCCTGTCCTTCGTGCCTACTGCGCAGCTGGAGACCCAGTTTGCGCTGGAGGCGAAATCGTTGCTGATCACCTGAACTACTTTGAGCTCTACACTGACGAGGCTTCGTCCTGGGTCGTGTCCAAGATCAACGGCGTTGCACCTCTGCCTTCTTGCGCTGCGTCCAGCTCTTCCAGCTCGTCCTCCGTGCCCACTCCTACAGCCAGTGTGTCCGCTTCATCTGTCGTACAGACCCCTACAGCCAGTGTGTCCGCTTCGTCTTTCGTACAGACCCCTACCGCCAGCGTGTCGGCTTCGTCTTTCGTACAAACTCCTACTGCTAGTGTGTCCGCTTCATCTGTCCTTGCACCTATTGAGTCCTCGAGTGCGGGTGAGCCCTACGTTCCTACCGCCTCCGAGGATGCAGAGACACCATACCCTACTTCTCCAGCAACTGTTTCTCCATTTCCTCCACCAGTCGACTACGATGCGTGTGTCCTCCAGGTTCACGTAGAGTACGTCTACGCCCACATGTAAGTGTGCGAGAGATGGAACGTGGAAAACAGCGGTTGTTAGCCGTAGTGGTTGTCACAAAAAGCATGTACCTACATAATACGTCGTTTTAAGTTCCGAGGAAATAGTTTGGTTCTACGAATAGACTACTTATGTGACTTGATCTGGTTGGTGGCTGCGCATAAAATGCCGAGTATGATGTTATCGTGTCGTATATTGTTTGATCGGAGATTATGTGAACCAAACCAAACATGGTTCATATTGATTACTGAGTTTGCTGGTAACACACAAACACTACGTGAAAAAGCACTGTCATCTTAGAGTAAAGGTGGAAATGGAGATTTTGGAAGATACGAGAAGACCAGTTGCAAGCTTGAAATTTATTATGTGAAGAGGGCAACAAA